CCACACCCGCTCTAAAAATATGACGTTTCCACCACTTATCCCCCTCCCTAATTAGTCCCTTACTGGCGACCCCCTAGTATACGCTACCTGGTGCTTGCTGTTTCCACAATCTCGGCGTATCGTTTTCATTTGTGTATCGTATTGTATCGTATCGTAAGATATTTAACCAACTATTAAAAATAATAAAATATATATATCTACAAAATAAAAATATTATAAGTAGATAAACATATAATATTTTAAATTCAAACTACTCATATATATATATGGCTTTTAGTGAATTTAAAATATTAGGTAACTCTTAGCTATACAAATTATTTTTGAGAAAATGTTAGCCAATTTTTCCTTTATTTTAATCTTGCATATTAGAAAGCGGGACATGGTAAGGCAATGTTTGAAAGCGTTTTGAAACTTATTTTGATTTCATTTTGAGGAAATGTGTTTTGGGGAAAGAATTTGAGAATGAAAGTAATGTTTGTTTATGTTTTGGAAGGAGACAAAATACACTGTAGCAGTCACATCATGTTTAAAAATGTTAGAAAAATGTATTTTAGAAGAAAAAAATTGAAAGATGAAGTGATATTTATTTGTTTTTTAGTGAAGACATTTCTTACTGTAGCAGTCACATCATGTCTGGAGGAGAGAGAAACTTTTGGAATTGTTTTGAGAAAATTATTTGAAAAGTGTAATAAATATAATTTTATTTTGAGGAATTAATGAAAACAAAATAGAAATGTTACCAAACATTCCCTAAGTATTTATAAGGCCAAATGACAAATAGACCCATGACAAAGGATTTAAATGTTCATAGGTCCAGACAAAAAACAGTTTCGTAAATAAATACATCCCCTTTTTGTCTAAATTACCCCTCATTATCTATTTTTTTTTTTTATCAATTTCATCTATTAATCTCAAACTTCATCAATATTTCACATTGACCCCAGATTTGAACAGATATATCACATTAAACCCCCACTTTCATAATGTTTTGAAAAAAAATATTTTTTTTAGAAAATAATTGTTTTTTCTGGCCAGATTCCGGCGTTGACGCAGACAGCAATATTGTACCAAGACGATAAAATTAATTAATATATTAATATTAGTGTCTCATACAATAATATTACTAATATTTAGTGGTGACAATCGGGCCATGCGAGCCGAGCCTGGGTCGACTCAAGCTCATATACCATTGGACCTCATTATTATAGGCTCAAGCTCAAATATTATCGGGCCGCATGCCTATAGGCTCAAAGTGGGCTCACGTATTTGTTTGGGTTTCGGGTTTCTATCGGGCTTATATCGAGCAACAAATAAATTACATATTTTACAACTTTACAGTCGGACATGTTAGAAAAAAAAAAAAACTTCGCAGTCTAAGAGAAAAATCTAAAATATTTATTGAAACGAAAAATAAGATAAAAAAACAATAGTCCGTTCATTAAAACGAATGAAGTTTAATGTTGCAAATATTTAATCATTAATTAATTATATGAAAAAAATGTATGCGAGTTCAGAATGAAAAAAAAACATAAAATAAAATAAATAGAAGCAATTCAAAATGTTCTCCTAACTCGGCCCGGCTCACAATTAATCGGACTCGGCTCAAACTCAATCCATAGTTTATTTATATATATATTTATTAATTTAGTCGGGCTGAGCCATGGTAAGCTCAAACTCAGCCCATAGTTTAATGGGTTTAATGAAACGGCTCAAACTTGGTCCGACTCACAATTAATCGGACTCGCCTCAAATAAAATCGGGCCGAGCTATCGAGGTTCGAGTTGGCCGCTGTTCAATTGTTTGTACTACTAATATTACTGTCTAAGACAATAATATTACTCTCTTTTACTGTAATATTATTGTCTGTAATATTGTAGGTCAATATAGTAATTTTAATGAATTTTTTTAAGTTAAAAAAAAATAAAAAAGTTAACATCGGAGACCGACGGTCAAGGGCGACTGACCTGCCGGAAAAAGATATTTCAGGAAAAAAAAAAAAGTTTACAAAAAAAAAAAGGTCAACGCCAGAGACCGACGGTTGACCTGCCCGAAAAAAACTCGAATCCCCATTTGACAAAAAAAAAATGACAAATACCTTTATATATATATATATATATATATATATATATATATATGAAGAGAAAACTTAATTCCATTTTGCACGCTCGAAACTCAATAAATCATGCATAATGCACCTCGAATGAATTTTTAAAGCTAATGAAAGTAATTTAATATTTTTAGTTGTATTTTTAAGGATGTCAACTGTCAAATCAATTTTTTTAATTCATCAATCATTTCTAAAGTACAAAGTCCAAAAATAAATAATTATCAAAAAAAAAAAAGTCCAAAAATAAAAATACATTTAATAAACAAATTAAATTATTATTATTTTCAATAATTTACAAAAAAACAAAAAGAACAAAAAATATCCTTCAGCTATTAGGTATTAAATTATTTGAAATTTATATTTTCTTCCAAATATTTTCATTAATTACAATATAAAAATCCATCACTCAAATAGTTTAGTGATTTTTTTTTTAAGAAAATATAGTTTTTTCAGTAATTCTTTGTCATTTTTGTTTCTTCGCATTTCGTGCGCTCGAAATTATATTGGCGGTGGAAGAAAATAATAATTTAATTTGTTAATTGCATCCTAGAAATAAAAAAACCAATAAAAAATTAAATTACCCTCATTAAGTTTTAAATATTCAATTCATGGTGCATTGTGATAATTTATTGTGTTCGAGGGTGCAAAATGATATTAATTTGTTTTAAAGGTGGGAAGTGCAAAAATGCTATATTTCGAGGGTGCAAAGTGGAATTAAGCCGTGTGAGAAAGACATTTGGCTCTGACTTCTGAGTTTGGACCACTACCACGCTGTTAAAATCAACGCCGTGGCCACCGCCGCCGGCCCACCACCGCTCACCCCCACACATTTACTCACTCCTCGCCGGTCAAGCCAAATTGCAGATATGAAGTTGAAATTTCAAACTTCAATCCCCTTCCCCATCAACAATTACATCCAATTTTCCACAAAAATCAGTTCCCATTTTCCTCCGCCGCGTCGGAATGGGAGCTTCATCCGCCGCCGCCGCCGCCGCCGCCGCCATCACCTTCTTCTTATTCTGTGCAGTAGTAATCGTTCCCAATCCTACCAATTGCAGCTCGATTTTCACCTCTTCCATAAACCCTAATTTCACAGCTTCTTACCTCCAATTCATCGACTACTCCGGCGGGTTTTTGTCTTCTCCGAACAACTCCTTCCAGGCCCGAATATCCAGCACAAATCCCCATCCGAACTCCTGCTACTTCGTAATAATTCACGTGATTTCCAACACCATTGTTTGGTCCGCCAATCGCAACACCCCGATCTCAACATCCGCCGAACTCCATTTTTCGAGCGATGGTCTCACTCTGTACAACGATACAGGCCACCCTATTTGGTCAACGCCGCCTCAGAATCTTTCTTCCGTATCTTCCATGAAGCTCCTGGATTCCGGAAATTTAGTATTGCTCGACACCACCAACAATACCGTGTGGGAAAGTTTCGATTCTCCGACGGACTTAATCGTCGCAGGCCAGAAACTGCGCCTCGGGGAATCGCTGGTGTCTTCTGTGAGCGATGCAGACTTATCCGAAGGTAGCTATCGCTTGGTTGTCGGAGATAGTGATGCGATGCTGCAATGGGGCGGGATCGATTACTGGAAGATGTCGATGGGGTTAACGGCTTTCAAGAACAGCAATGCTGCAGTTGAGTATATGGTGATGAACTCCACCGGTGTGTATTTGATCGGAGATGATGATAATAATAATAATAATGGTGGTGTGATTGTGATTCAGATGATGTTCAGCGAATTTAATGAATCTTCTTCGGGTTTTCGTATGGTGAAGTTGGATCCGAAAGGGGTTTTTCGTGTTGTAAAGATCAACAAGATCGATGGATTGGTTCAAGAATTCGCGGGCCCTGCTGATAGCTGTCGGATTCCGTCTATATGTAAGAGATTTGGTGTTTGTACCGATGGTGGTTCTTGTCAATGTCCACCTGGATTTCACTTAGGTCTAAATGTGAGTAATGGCGATTGTGTCCCTTCAAATGGTTCTTTGTCTTTGCCGATTCCATGTAACGGCTCATCATCGAACGGTACCGTTATAAAGTATTTGAATCTAAGGGAGGATTTGGATTATTTCTCCAATGATTTCACGGATCCTTTGATCAGTAATGTCAGTCTTTCTTTCTGTCAGGATCTTTGTACTCGGAACTGTTCTTGCTCGGCCGTTTTCTACGGTCAGAGATTTGGATCGTGCTATGTGATCACGGACTATTTGGGTTCGTTTCGGATTAAGTCGTATGATGCAAATCGTTTGGGATATGTTAAAGCTGTTGAGGTAGGGAATATTCAAAGTGGCGATTCTTCGGAGAAAAAGAAATCTGATTTCCCGATTCTTATAGTCGTTTTGCTGCCATCGTTAGGTGTTATAGGCATTGCTCTTGTTGCAACTCTATTGTGGTGGTGGTGGTGCCGAAGGCGACATACAAGAGATGAAGATATGGATTATCTCGTCTCGGTACCTGGTTTGCCGGTTCGGTTTGATTACAAAGAACTTGCAATAGCAACCAAGAATTTCAAAACTCAGATTGGGTCGGGCGGATTCGGAACTGTATACAAAGGGACTCTGCTCGATGGAACCGATATTGCAGTGAAAGAGATCACTTGCTTGGGTCCACAAGGCAAAAGGGAGTTCCTAACCGAGATTGCAGTCATCGGCAAGATTCACCACGTCAATTTGGTCCGACTAAAGGGCTTTTGTGTGCACCGAGGGCAGAGATTCTTGGTCTACGAGTACATGAACCGAGGGTCGTTGGATCGCTCTCTTTTCGACAGTGGTGGTGGATCCGTTTTGGAATGGAAGGAGAGATGCGAGATTGCGCTCGGGGCGGCGAGAGGGCTAGCGTACCTTCACATCGGATGCGACCACAAGATTGTCCACTGCGACGTCAAGCCGGAGAACATCCTCCTCCACGGCGGCAACACGGCGGTGAAGATCTCCGATTTCGGGCTGGCGAAGCTCCTTACCCCCGAGCAGTCGGGGTGGTTCACCACCATGCGCGGCACTCGCGGTTATCTCGCGCCGGAGTGGCTGACGAAGTCGGCTGTTTCGGAGAAAACGGACGTGTATAGCTACGGAATGATGCTTCTTGAAATCATAAGCGGGAAGAAAAACTACTCGGTGCAAATGGAGGGCCACGATCGATCGGGGGATGGCGCGGACGAGGAGAAGCGTTGGATCTACTTCCCACTGTTTGTGTTGGAGATGCACGAGCAAGGGCGATACTTGGAGGTGGTGGACCCGAGATTGGGGGGTGGGGTAGGGGCGGAGGAGGTGGAGAAGATGGTGAGGGTGGCGTTGTGCTGCGTGCAAGGGGAGCCGAGTTTGAGGCCTACGATGTCGAATGTTGTGGGGATGCTGGAAGGATGGTTGGCTTTGGGGGAACCGAGGATCGAGTCTCTCGATTTTTTGAGGTTTTATGGCCCGGGAAAGGAGGGCGGTGAGGAGAATGACAAGGGGGCCATCTTGTGCAGACAACAACCTCGGACTAGTTCGTACGACTCTTCCTCTTGCATGTCATCATCTACTCAACAAGTCTCTCTTGTCCAACACAATAGTGTATAAAATAGAATAGCATACTCCCTTGTATAAAGTCGATAATAGCATTTTGCACCATAAAAAACACAATAAATCATTCATAATGCAATATAAATTGAATAATAAAGGAAGTTCCATTTTGTGGGGGAATGCAAAATAATAAATTAAATTGTTATTTTCTTCAACCTCCAATTTAATTTTGAGCGCACAAAGTGTCAAAAAATAAAAATATCACACTGGATTATTGAAAAGATGTTACTTTAGGTAACTGATGGATATTTTATTGTAACTGATGGAAATATAAGGTAAAATATCTGAAAGAAAAGTATGATTTTCATATAACTTTACAACGAAATAGCTGAATGATTTTTTTTTTTTGTAAAATATTATTTTTGTGATAAAAGATATAATTTTTAAATATGCTGATGAAATGTATTTTTACTTTTGCAGTTTTAATTTTCAGTTTCAAAATGACTGTTCAATAAAAAAAATAATAATTTGACATTTGTCGTCCTAGAAAAAATACCACTAAAAATATTAAACTATCTTTATTAGCTTTAAAAATGCATTTGGGGTACATTATGTATAATTTATTGTGTTTCGAGAGTGCAAACTGCTATTAATTTGTTTTGAGGGTGCAAATTTCCAAAATTGTAAATTTCAAGGGTATAAAGTAGGATTAAGCCAAAATAATACCCAAAAAATGATATTAGAATGAAAACAAAGGACTAGAATGAAAATAAACATAATTCTCAGTCTCACCACTCTCATATTTTTTTTCTCACTCTCCACTTCCCTAGGAAATCTGCATACAAGTTCTTGAACCCATTAACCATTTCCGCCGATTCCATGATTTTCCGACACAGTAACCACTAATTCAAGAAAAATCCTTACTCGACATGGGAAAACTTCCGTGCGCACTTCTCTTCTTCCTCCTCTTCACAAACTCCGCATTCTCTTGGAAAAAGGAGGAGTTCCGGAACTGCGATCAGACCCCATTCTGCAAACGCGCCCGATCCCGACAACCCGGCGCGTGCTCGTTAACCGCCACCGACATCTCCATCTCCGGCGGCGATCTCGTCGCTAAACTCGTCGCCAAAGAAACCAATCAAGAAACCCCCACGAAGCCACTTGTTCTCAAGATATCCGCCTACCAAGATGGGGTAATGAGGCTCAAGATCGATGAGGACCAAGATTTAAACCCTAGGAAGAAACGATTTGAGGTCCCCGATGTAATTGTACCAGAATTCTCCGACAAGAAGCTATGGCTACAGAGCTTGAAAGAAGAAGAAGAAGAAAATTCAGGTTTAATTTCGGTCGTACATTTATCAGATGGGTACGAGGGTGTAATTAGGCACGACCCTTTTGAGGTTTTTGTGAGGGAGAGGGGTAAAAATGGGAAAAAGGTGCTGTCTTTAAACTCGAACGGCTTGTTCGATTTCGAACAGATTAAGGATAAGAAAGATGAAAACGAGGATTGGGAAGAAAAATTCCGAACACATACGGACTCTAGGCCGTATGGGCCGCAGAGCATCAGCTTCGATGTGTCGTTTTACGGAGCTGATTTCGTGTATGGCATTCCCGAACATGCCACTAGTTTAGCTCTAAAGCCGACTAGTGGGTCCGGAGTGGAAGCTTCCGAGCCCTATAGGCTTTTCAATCTCGATGTGTTCGAGTACATTCACGATTCGCCTTTCGGTTTATACGGATCGATCCCGTTCATGATTTCGCATGGGAAATCGCGTGGAAGTTCCGGGTTTTTCTGGCTCAATGCTGCCGAAATGCAGATAGACGTTTTCAACGGTAACAATTCGAACGAGTTCTTGAAGTTGCCTTCCGATCAGAAGAGGATCGATACGTTGTGGATGAGCGAAGCTGGTGTGGTGGACGCGTTCTTTTTCGTGGGTCCCGCTCCGAAGGACGTTGTTCGACAGTACGCGAGTGTGACGGGCCCCACCGCTTTGCCGCAGCTGTTTTCCATTGCTTACCATCAGTGCAGGTGGAATTATAGAGACGAGGAGGATGTATATAACGTGGACTCTAAATTCGACGAGCATGATATTCCTTATGATGTTTTGTGGCTCGATATCGAGCATACGGATGGGAAGAAGTATTTCACGTGGGATAAGATGCTGTTTCCGAACCCTGAGGAGATGCAGAATAAGTTGGCTGCGAAGGGGAGGCGCATGGTAACTATTGTGGACCCTCATATTAAACGGGACGACTCGTATTTTATCCATGAGGAGGCTTCGAAGAAGGGCTATTATGTGAAGGATAAAACTGGGAATGATTTCGACGGGTGGTGTTGGCCTGGTTCCTCGTCGTATTTGGATATGGTGGATCCGAAGATTAGGTCTTGGTGGGGCGAGAAATTCTCGTGCAAGAATTACGTGGGGTCCACTCCGTCTTTGTATATCTGGAACGACATGAACGAACCTTCCGTGTTCAACGGGCCCGAGGTAAAAAAAAACCTTTTCGAGTGCGATTCTGTCTTGTTTATTGTGCTTGCGAATTTTGTTCGTTTCGAATTTCGATGATACCTTGCCCCGTTTTGGATTTTTGACTGAAAATTTTGTAGTGAAAAAACGGGACTTCGAAAAATTTGCAGGAAAAAATGAACAAAGTTTACAAGATGATCACTTTACTACCGTGGCTTTAATTTCTGACGGGGTCTTTGTTCTTTTCTTGATTAGGTTACGATGCCGAGAGATGCGTTGCT